TCTATGCAGACAGACATTTGTGGTAAAAAAAATATAGAACGTCTTTCGTGCTGATTAGAAAGCTAACAAAAAATAATAATTACCGGAACTAACATTGATTAGCACGGTTAAAAAAATAAATGACGTAGTAATTAAATTACCAGGATCATTAGGTTCAGTTTCTGTCGTGAATATTTCCAGAGTTGATTTTTTACATTTTTTTTTACAACAAGCCTAATTTATTTTCACACCCCCCCCCCCCCCCCCCCCCCATTTTGGTCATTAACTTTCATTGGTTAACATAGTTAACTTCTCTTCGTTCGATTTTGGCCCTAGATACCAGTATATGACGTGATGATGTCTTGTGCTAACACTACAATATAGTTTTTTTGTTGATGGGGTGGGGGAGGGAGACAATGTTATAACAGAAAAAAGGGGTAGTTGACGTCACACGTGTCAGGTGAACACTGTCTCAAGAGAAGAGTCCCGAGTTATCTTCCCCTGTTTGATCAGTGCTGCCTGTTACGTTGATTAGCCAGTATGTCAGGACCAGGATCCGTTCCCCGGTCCACAAACTGACAGGCTGATGTTATCGTCCACTGGAGAGATATAGGGTAGCACTTTATGGTGCACCAATGGAGAGATATAGGGTAGCACTTTAGGGTGCACTACTAGAGAGGTATAGGGTAGCACTGTAAGGTGCACTACTGGAGAAGTATATGGTAGCACTTTAGGGTGCAAAATTGGAGAGATACAGAGTAGCACTTTAAGTGCACAATTGGAGAGGTATAGGGTAGCACTTTATGATGCACTACTGGAGAGGTATAGGGTAGCACTTTATGGTGCACCACTGGAGAGATACAGGGTAGCATTTAAGGTGCACTACTGGAGAGGTATAGGGTAGCACTTTATGGTGCACTACTGGAGAGGTATAGGGTAACACTTTATGGTGCACTACTGGAGAGGTATAGGGTAGCACTTTATGGTGCACCAATGGAGAGGTATAGGGTAGCACTTTATGGTGCACCACTGGAAAGATACAGGGTAGCACTTTAAGGTGCACTACTGGAGAGGTATAGGGTAGCAGTTTAAAGTGCACTACTGGAGAGATACAGGGTAGCACTTTATGGTGCACCACTGGAGATATATAAAGTAGCACTTTAAGGTGCACTAATGGAGAGGTATAGGATAGCACTTTAGGGTGCACCACTGGAGAGGGAGGCCTATGGGGTAGCACTTTAAGGTGCACAATTGGAGAGATATAGGGTGGCATTTGAAAGTGCACCACAGCAAGGCATGTCACCCAACGTATTCTAAGATTTATGCAACTGATGTGTAGCTATAAAGTAGCATGCAGGTTGATGTAGTACTACAACAGTTGGCTAATCCAAACCACAACAACACACTAACTCAACAACTGACTAACCACACCAGAAACTAACCCTAATCACAACAGCAGAGACTAACCCAGAAATGGCTTTGTGCGAGCAAACGCTGACTGACACAGCTAATAAAAGCTGATTACTTAATCAGTCTGTCTTAATTAAAAGAATGTGGTGTCCCTAATTAAATCCTGTCAGTTTGCCGGATCTCGCGGGCAGTGTGACGTGACACAAGGCCGGCATCACGTGGCTCCCGTGTGGCCAGCAACTGGTCAACTGGCGTGTCACGTGACTGGCAGGTACCCACGTGAGTGAAGGCTATAAATAGCCACAACTAGCGTGAATTTGTGTGGCACTTTGAGCACTTTTTTTTCAAAAACCTTGACTTATAAACAACTTTTTATTTTTTTTTATTCCTATCCCGATTCGAGCTACAAGTCGAGGGCTAAAAGGGAACTAGGCTACAGACGTGGGTTAGATTTATTTAGGACTGTTGACCACATGTTGATTTGAAATATCGTATGGGCGTAGCCTAATTGCTTCAATAATAATGATTAGAATTGGATGATTGGTGACAGATAGACAAATGATGGGTTGAAAGAGAAAGATACAGCCATGAGAAATGGACTCTGGGAAAGCGTAAATTGTGACAAATTACGCTGGTGATAAGAGAATGTAGGTCAGGTGGGCTAAAAATAGAAACGGCGGTTAGCCCACGTGACAGGCGCGAATCGACTGATAAACGTCCATCTCACGGGTAACTAATTATTGATGACTAATTAATTCACTGATCGCCAGTGACTCGCACAAAAACTAGCCCATAGTGTGGCTGGTGATGTCTGGTCTGTCTTCTTTGGTCAGCTGATAATTGGTGGGGAGGGAGGGGTGGGGGTCATACCAGTGTCCGACTTTCGAACTGAAGAAAGTAGGTTTTTAGTCGATAATGGTAAACTAGCTGATATAGCTAACCAAACTTAACACAAAGCCTAACCATAAGCTACGGACTTACTTAACTCCAAACTCCAAAAGACCTAAGTTCTAGAAGACGCCATTCCCATCAATATTTTAAGAAGAAGAACACACAAAAAACACCCATTAATTATTATTGCCAGATAAAGGAAAATCTAGAAACCGAAACCATCCAGCGAGTTCATAATCACCAAGTGTGTAATTGTCAAATCTAATTAGGGCCTACACCAGACGATTTTTGTTGTGCTCACGTTCCTGTGTCGACAACTGTACGGAATAACTGAAACTTTTGCAACTCAAGATTTTTCACTAGACTGTCTATATGGTCCATTCAATTCTGGCTATCAATGTCTAAAAAAGTCTGTCTGAATGTCTTTACTGCAGTAATACTTTTATGGATTACTTGTCTATCCACACCAAATCTTTAATCACCGAGTCTGACCAGTGGCGGATTCATATTGGGGGGGGGGGGGGGGGTAACCAGGCTCTTGCTATTGTCTTCCACCCCCCCTAAATATTTGAGGCATCAAAATGTCTTCTCTTATTTATAAGAAAATTCTCATACCATAAATAGTTTATTAGTAGGCCTACTCAGGCCTGGCTTAACTGGTCCTTGGAGCCTTAAACCAATCTAATACACATTAACAACTTAAACCTGTTTTGTTACGTAACTTAACCCCGTGTGTTACATAATCACACGCAGCAGGCCTGACGTATATCTACCGCCGGTGTATTGGGGAAAATGGGGCTAATTAATTAGCTTCATCAGTGGCCAGCTGCTACATTATACACGTGGTATAGCGGTCTGTTTCTGTATTGTCTTAAGTCTGTCTCGTATGTATCCAGTCTGTCTTAAGTCTGTCACTTATGTATCAAATCTGCCTTGTGTGTATCCAGTCAAGTCTGTCTCTGCATTGTCTTAAGTCTGTCTCGTATGTATCCAGTCTGTCTCAAGCCTGTCTTAGTATTGCCGTCAGTATAACCTATCTATTATCTCAAACGTTTACACATGACCCTATCAACACGTGTCGCCAGCACACACCGACTGTAACAAATAACTGTAGGCGACCCACGTGTCTGGTACACAACTAGACACAACTAGCTGTATGGCTAAACTTGGTACACAGCTAGCTGTATGGCTAAACTTGATACACAGCTAGCTGTATGGCTTAACTTGGTACACAGCTAGCTGTATGGCTAGATTTTGTACACAATTAGCTGCATGGCTAGATTTTGTACACAACCAGCTGTATGGCTAGATCTAGATTTGGTACACAGCTAGCTGTATGGCTAGACTTGGTACACAGCTAGCTGCATGGCTTAACTTGGTACACAGCTAGCTGCATGGCTTAACTTGGTACACAGCTAGCTGTATGGCTAGATTTAGTACACAACTAGCTGTATGGCCACTAGATTTGGTACAAAACTAGCTGTATGGCTAGATTTAGTACACAACTAGCTGTATGGCTACTAGATTTAGTACACAACTAGCTGTATGGCTAGATTTAGTACACAGCTAGCTGTATGGCTAGATTTGCTACACAACTAGCTGTATGGCTACTAGATTTGCTACACAACTAGCTGTATGGCTAGATTTGGTACACAGCTAGCTGTATGGCTAGATTTGGTACACAACTAGCTGTCACAGCTATTACGTACACGTGTACTAATACTTAATACAATTCACTGACACGACAAAATGATCAATGATTAGGGGGGGGGAGGGGGATACAATTTATTAATTTTAGTCAGGCTTATTACCGGCAATAATTAATTATCTGGGGGGGGGGGATTTGATTATCTTATGATAACCTCCAGGCTAAAACAACATTGTAATGAGGTTACTTATTTTTTCTGCAGGCATTGTCGAGGGTTTTCATTGGGGTTAAGCTCAAGTCTATGGTCTAGTAGGACTAGATCTAGGTTTTATCTAAGTCTTAGAGCCAGGTTTAGTTAATTATTAATTAGTTAGTTGGGTATCGATATGGTCAAAAAAAAGCTTCCATACGCCAGCCGGCGTGTTACACCAGTACCGTTAACTACAACACGAATGTGACAGGTGTTTTCCGCCCACCTGTACACCCAGCGGTCAGCCCGTCTGTCATACATAGTGTCACAACTTACCTTACGTGACCCACAGAAGAAAAAAAAAACAACACACAGAAATCCATACAACGAAATGCACACGTCACCAGCAGTGAATGGTTTTCTTGTCAACACAGCATGCGCAGGGGAGATCACCGCCTCATTGTTCGGTTACGTCATTCAGAGTTATTTTTATATATTTATTTTTTTACGTTAAACATACGCAAGTAAATTTTTGCGTAAGCACGCGAGATTACGTAATTTAAAAAAACAAAGCATATATGCAGGGTAGTGAAATAGTTAATTAAATAAAGGCTTAAACAATTATTATTTTTTTAAATTACCGGCGTCCTAAGTCCTAGCAGACGATAAACGCGCCGTGTCGAGTCTAGCCACGCTGTTCACTGTCTCACACCAACTCATAACACACGAGTGACGCGGACCGAGGCTCGCTCGAGTGTAAAAAAAAACAATTTTAACACACGCTCACTGCTACACATTACAACACGTTTAAAAGAAGCAGTTAATTTTTTTAAAATAAAAAATAAAAAATAATTTTTTTTTTAAATATTTAAAAATGCTTACTGTTGAAAACCGTTAGCTAGGTCACGTGTGCGCCAAGTGGGTTTAAAAAAAGTAACAGATCAATTAAAAGTTGTAGAATAGCCTGGAATGTAGTCTGTCAGGAAAATCTCGGCTTGACTAGCTACAACAGACACCACCAAGTACAAATCGCTCCACCTACCCCGACCCGTCCCTGCTGAAATGCACCGTGCCAAGTTCCACAACTCCCGACAATCGAACAGTCAGCCAGCGATTGCCGGCCTTGCGATTTGATGCGGCGGTTCGCTCACAACACACAACATAACGAAAAGTAGAGAAAAAAAAAATAATCGTAAATAATCGTTTGCAGATCCTCTATAGCCTCTAACACACTCACCGAAATCACTTACGTCATTCTATATTTGTTTCGGAACAACTCAGAAAATAAATTCCACTTTTAAAATAACTAAATAGCATGTTATGAAAACAAAAATTTCACACACAATCTACGAGAGAATTTCCCTTATCCGTGTTATCGATTAAAAAAAAATGTTGAGTTTCTATGACGTTTGTGGAAATTCCCATTAGAGGCAGATAATCAAATTCCACGCTTGCAAAGGTTAAGTCAATATACTTACATTATCTCCTCCTGAATTAAATCAATCGATTGGATAACCAATAACCACAGGCTAAATCTACGACGAAAATAGCCTATCCACCTAAATCCTTCGAGTAGGCAGCTTATAAAATCTAAAAAAAAAAAAACGAGCACAGAATTATTTTTTTTTAGAAAACAAAAGCGGCCTGACTCCTATCTCGAGATGGATGAAGTGTGTGAGTGTGTCACCCCCTCTGTGACACCGCGTACCAGGTCTGGCGTCACTGCGGAACCAATTGATGATCCCCAGGTGGAACTGGACTCAAGGTCAAGTCTGCGACCGGAACACGAGGTCAGCGTCTATTCTACACTGTCAGTCGGCCACAGGGAAAAGGTGAAACGTTAGCACAAGTCGTGATGTTACAACCAGGTGGGGGAGTGGGGGGGGGGGGGGGTGATGTGAAGTGAAGGTATTGGAATACGTCACTGGTAGGTAAAGGGCAGAGGTGTTGGGAGTTAGAGGGGGGAGTAGTTTGGAGAGTTAAGGGGTGCTGGTTGGGGGGGGGGGGGGGTTCAGGGGTGCTGTTTGGTGTAGTTAAGGGGTGCTATTTGAGGAGTTAAAGGGGTGCTAGTTGGGGGGGGGGTTGAGGGGGTGCTGTTTGGTGTAGTTAAGGGGTGCTATTTGAGGAGTTAAAGGGGTGCTAGTTAGGGGGGGGGTTGAGGGGGTGCTGTTTGGTGTAGTTAAGGGGTGCTATTTGAGGAGTTAAAGGGGTGCTAGTTAGGGGGGGGGGGGGTTGAGGGGGTGCTGTTTGGTGTAGTTAAGGGGTGCTATTTGAGGAGTTAAAGTGGTGCTAGTTGGGATTTAAGGGGGTGAGTGCTAGTTTGGTGGGGATGAAGGGGTGCTATTTTGCGTATTCAAGGGGATGCTATTTGCGAGATAAGGTGATGCTATTTGGGAGTTAAGGGGGTGCTATTTGGGGAGTTATAGGAGGGTATTATTTTGGGGGGGGGGGGTTGATAGGTTGCTAGCTTTGGAGTTAAGAGGGGTGCTAGTTTTGGGTAGTTAGAGGTGGGTGTTATCTACAACCTCAATCCAAATGCCTTGGGTAAGCGTGTAAGGTCGGGAAGGTTATGGTTAGTGTAGAGGTGACGCCACGGACTGGGCTGTGTGTTATGTTAATGTATGCACCTGTTTATGGTAGGTAGTGACGGTCGCTGGTAGGTAGGTAGGATAGGTTATGTTAGGGAGAAGACAAGGCCGGTTATTTTAGGAAAAATGCCGGTTACGTTTATAGATCATGCCGGTAGTATTATGGATAAAATCGGTTATGTTATGAATAATGCCGGTTATATTATAGAAAAATGCCGGTTATGTTTATAGATCATGCCGGTAGTATTATGAATAATGCCGGTTATGTTATGAATAATGCCGGTTATGTTATGGAGAAATGCCGGTTATGTTTATAGATCATGCCGGTAGTATTATGAATAATGCCGGTTATGTTATGGAGAAATGCCGGTTATGTTAGGGATAATGCCGGTTATGTTAGGGATAATGCCGGTTATTTTAGTGATAAGGCAGTTGGTTTTTTTATAATGCCGGTTAAATTATGCCTGTTGCAATTTGGATAACGCCGGTTTCAGGTTATGGGTTATGCAGTTTACGTTACAGACAGTGGATGTTGTGTTTTGACCCACACACTCATGATGTTGTAGATCGTGGTGGCGTGGTGGTGGTGGTGGTGGACAGGCGCTGTGACGTCACAGGCCGAGTCGAGTCCAGTTTTGTGGTAACAATCAATTGACCTCATCATCCGAGGAATATTCGATTACCATAATCTCATTTGTTCGATTAGCGTAATCTTATTTGTTTAGGGGGGGTGTGTGGGTTGGGGCGGTAAATTGTTCACAAGTCCAATAGCACCAAGATCCCACGCCGATATTCCTGTAGCCAGGTTGGGCGCCTTACAGCGTCAGCCTGAGGTGACGAGGGAAAAGTCACAGGAAAAAAGTCACAGGAAAAAAGTCCCAGGAAAAAAGTCACAGGAAAAAAGTCACAGGAAAAAAGTCACAGGAAAAAGTCACAGGAAAAAAGTCACAGGAAATAAGTCATTAAAAAAGTCACGGAAAATAAGTCACAGGAAACAAGTCACACAAAAAGAGTAACAAATGCTACTCTTACTACAAATGTTATTCTTGCTACAAATGTTACGCATGTTATAAATATTTTACTCGTAACAAATACCTCTATTAGATTCTTGATGATATAAAAAGTTTGGTACGGCTATGATGTCACACCTAATCTGTGACATCTAATATGTGACACTTAATCCCTGTCATCTAATCCCTGTCCTCTAATCTGTGTCATCTAATCTGTGTCATCTAATCTGTGTCATGAAGTCTGACGCTATGGCATGCTGACTGTTGCAACGTGTTTTTGTTTTTAATCCGATTGAACTACAAGAACCAATAAAATAAACTCGTGTTTGCTTGTGATCGATCAAATTCGTGATTATAGCCGTGAGTAGTTGATGTAGGGGGAGGGGGGATGGGGCTCTAAGGTTTTGTTGGGCACGGGGGTGGGGGGGAGTATATTGCTATTGTAGCTGTGAGTAGTTGATGTAGGGGGAGGGGGGAAGGGCTCTATGGTTTTGATGGGCACGGAGATGGGGGGGGGGGATATATTGCTATTGTAGCCGTGAGTAGCTGATGTAGGGGGGAGGGGGAAAGGGCTCTAAGGTTTTGATGGGCACGGGGATGGGGGGGGGGGAGTATATTGCTATTGTAGCCGTGAGTAGTTGTTATGGGGGGGTGGAGGATTTAAGGTTTTGTTGGGCCCGCGGGTGGGGGGGAGTATATTGCTATTATAGCTGTGAGTAGTTGTTGGGGGAGGGACGGACGGGGGCTCTAAGGTTTTGATGGGCACGGGGGTGGGGGGAGGAACGAGTACATTTCTATTATAGCTGTGAGTAGTTGTTGTGGGGGGCTCTAAAGCTTTGTTTGGGGGGGGGGGGAGCATATTGCTATTGTAGAGTCAACCTACAAGCCATATTATTTCCAGAATGGTTTGCTGTTTTGGTGAAATTAGAAGATGGTTAATGGTAGACACGTTTTCGTTAACGGTTCTTTTATGTTTGTAGCTATACAGTAGTAGCTGTACAATAGGAGCTACACAGAGGCGCCCGGGGACAAACATTTTGATTTGCACCCCCTCCCCCTCAAGATTTCGATTTGCACCCCCCCCCCAACTTTCGATTTGCACCCCCTCAACCCCCCGCCCATCCCCCCCCCCCCTTTCGCTACGCTACTGGAGCTACACAGTTGCGCATTTACAGTCTCCTACCATTATGTCATTGTCCTTATGGCCATACCGTATGTTAACAGTAGGGGTCGTTGGGGCACCACAGAGTGGAGTGTCCAGGACTAAGTGTCGCATGACGGCGCCCACCCCTCTCCATGCCTGACCATACCCGGATGCCTCCATCTAGATGGCTCGTCTTGGTCACGAACACGTGACTGTTGAAGTTCATCTAGGGAGTCTTGCGCCAATGTGTCAAAAATTTGACCCCAAACTCAAATTGTTGACCGAAAACTCAAAATGTTAACAAACACTATATGTTGACTGTAATGTCAAACTCCTTTTTCGTCCAGTTAAGCTTAGAATAAAAACTACAAAAACCCAGATTAAAGCCACAAAACAAAAATGGCCAACTGGCCGCACATGTGGGCACGAGATTAACTGGCCATCCCCGTGACGTCATAGGGTCCTGATTGATAGAGTGCATTCAATCTGTTAGGTGCACTTGCCCTCAGGGGCGAGTAACTCGCCTCGAACTGCTCAATTTTTGCCTTTTAAAAAAGAGAGCGCTAGCTACTTTTTTCCCCCATTATTATCGATCACTTGTAACGTTTTGCGCAATCTAGTCGCGAAAAAAAAATTCCAACTGAAATTATCGGTGATAGAAATGGCCGACACGTAGAAGCAGAAGATAAATGGATTATGGGTAGAATTATTTTTTTATGAAATTAAATTGTGTTAGATTATTGAAAAAAAAATCTCTTTCGCTCCAGGAAGGTGTTGAAATGTGGGAGGGGAAAAAATAAAATGATAGACATCCGGTGGGGGTACGAGGGGTGGGGTGCGAGGGGTGGAGGGGTCACTAAATTAAGGGGAGTTAATCTAATTGTATGGGTGCTGTGAGCTTACATAGAAAGCAAATCAAATCATTGTCTATGTTCTTATCTTTTTTATATTTACAATGTAGGGGTCTGTTGGCACAACAGGCCAAAACGGGGGGGGGGGGGGGGGGAAGAGGCGGTGTTCATATTGCCCATCACTGACAAACGAATCAGTTACTTGCACATGTTAAGAGAGGAGATCGGCACCTTGCATATTTCAGAGAGGGGAGTCAGCACCTTGAACATTACCGAAAGGGGAGTCAGCACCTTGAACATTACCGAAAGGGGAGTCAGCATCTTGCACATTACTGAAAGGGGAGTCAGCACCTTGAACATTACCGAAAGGAGAGTCAGCATCTTGCACATTACTGAAAGGGGAGTCAGCACCTTGAACATTACCGAAAGGGGAGTCAGCATCTTGCACATTACTGAAAGGGGA